ACATTAAATTATACAAAAATATAAAAAAAATTATAAAAAAAACATTTCCCTTCACAGAAAAATAATTGTATCCAGACCGGACGTGACCAGGCTTCAACAGAAATTTGCAAATGAACCGGTTCCAAACCAATCGTTCGAGTTGGAATTCAAACCGAACTGTCACACTATCCCTCTCCTAAAACCCTACTCTTCGCTCTGATTCGTGTCCCAATTCTCTCCCCTTTTCGTCCTTCTGCAAAGCTAAACAAATTTTGTGATGGCAGAATCTGCATAAAAACCTTCATCGAGATTATCCTCGCAGTAGCTATGTCGGCCTTATCGAGAGGCCTCATTTCTCGGCTCCACCATCTGCTCTCAGTAACTCCCAGAGTTTCTTTAGCTCCCGGACTAGCGCAGACGCCGCTAACTTTTCAGTTCTTGAGGAGATTCAGCAGTGAAGCTTTTGTTGATGACTCCGAGACCGTCTACGAAGCCACCCGAATCATTGAAGCGAAGCCGGGTGTCATGACTCCTAACTCCAAGCGAACTGGGGTCATTGCTGTTAAATGTGGAATGACTGCTCTCTGGGACAAATGGGGTGCTAGGGTCCCTATCAGTATTCTCTGGGTCGATGATAATATTGTTTCCCAGGTCAAGACTGTGGAGAAAGAAGGAATCTTTGCTCTACAGGTGCTGCTCTCTTTTTTTGTATTGTTCAAGGGCCTTTCTTTAAGTTACTTTTGTGTATTTGATATGATCACTTGAGTTATTGCATTCATTTTATGGGTAGATTGAACTGAATCGTATAAGGAAAATTAAGTCATTTAGAATGCTGAGTAATGGTCTAATACAAAATGGATTGGGTTTCTGAGATTTAGTTTTTCCTGGATTGAGGAATGGAAAAGCATTCTCTCAAGTTGTGATTAATTATTGTGATTTTTTTTTTGTTAAGCTACTACTTTATCATTTATGTTTTATTATGCCTGTAGGCTTGTGCTTAATTTTGTGTTGGGATTTAATTGTGTTAGTTAGATTGGTTGCGGGCAGAAGAAGGCAAAGCATTTGACCAAACCTGAAGTAGGCCATTTTAGAGCACAAGGTGTTCCCTTGAAGAGGAAACTGAGGGAGTTCCCTGTCACAGAAGATGCGCTCCTTCCAGTTGGCATGTCCATTGGTGTTCGCCATTTTGTTCCAGGCCAGTATGTCGATGTCACAGGAATCACAAGAGGGAAAGGTTTTCAGGTGAGTGGCTGTCAAAGTATGTTAAGAAATCATCTCAGATTTGATAGTTTTAATTTTGATGGTACAAAAAGAATTAGGCAGTAGGAAATTATTCAGGATTTTCTGTTTGGAATTAATTTTTTTATGATATGCCATGCAAGTTAATTCAAATATATATGGTATGTCATGCATCTTGCATGTATCTCATATCGTTCTTTAGTTTTTGTCCAATTCTTTTGTCAAAGACTAGATTGAGAATAATTAAAATTTTTCAGTCCTTGTATATGAGGTATTGAGTTAGTGCAACAAGAACAAATGATGGGGTTCTCAACTCCTGAATATGATTCTTTTGAATTTTTGTTGATCCTGGGAGAAAATCATTGTGTCCTTTATTGTTCTGTTGGCTGCGGATTTATTGGGGTTAACATTCATTCATGTGTTCAACTAATGCATGGCTTTTGGATAAAGAGAAAAACCTCTTACTTGCTTTTTACGTTTGTTTACTTGTCCAGGGTGGAATGAAAAGATGGGGATTTAAAGGAGGGCCAGCATCTCATGGTAATTCATTAGCACACAGAGCGATTGGGTCTACTGGTCAGAGGGATGCTCCTGGAAAGGTTTGTATTGCTGTAATATCTTAATACTGGAAATTCACTGGCTTGTGATTCTAAGTGTCCTATCTGAATTCATTACACATTGCTTTATCTTTTGCATTATTATTGTTCGCTTGGGATAAATAATCTCCATAGGTTGGTAGATCATTAAATTGTTATGTAGATAGTGTGCTTCTTTGCAAGAGACAATACATACCACTGATTTGACTGATTTATTCATCTAGCATGATTTAGTTATGCACCTTTGTTCTGCTTTCATGTGCATTTTCATCTTCTAGGGATCACTTGATGGTGTTTGTAGTGGATTTTATGAAAGTAATTCATTCTGGGAAAAAATAATATGATGTACTGCTTCAGTCTCAAAAAGAATTGTTGTTGCTTTGTAAGGCTGGTTAAATGTAAATTTTTCTTTTTTTATACCTGGAAGTTGACATTAGCTGTTTATTATAGAATCCAATAATGCCCTCGTATAAGCTAGTCTTTGATTGATAACTTGCCTCTCTGTAACCTAGTCTTTTTTTTCTTTGAAACAATTCTTACTCTTAAAACCTGTCTTCAGAAGTCCAGCCCCATACCTAGCATTTCCGTATTCTGTTTGGACGATTTTATGTAATGTTGAGTCAAACTCATGATTATGGTGGCACCTCAGGTTCCAATTCTGAGATTCAATCATTTTCTAAACAGGTATTCAAAGGAAAAAAGATGCCGGGGCGCATGGGTGGGAAGCAGAGAACGGTAAAAAATGTATGGATCTACAAGATAGATCCGGCAAGGAATTTGATGTGGGTGAGAGGCCAGGTCTGTTTTTCTTACCAAATTTACCTTTCAAATTTAAGTGTTCAAACTTAAATATTTGATGCGAATGTTGTCTTCTTGTTGTCTAAAATGGCCTTCTCGTAGTCTGTATACTACTTTATTGATCCATGCAAGCTTCTTTTCTTTCTTCTTTTTTTATTTTTTATTTTTCTCGAAAACTTTTGAATTTTTCTTGATGCAACTCCACAGTTGTCAGAAATGCTTTCAGTTGTGATAACTAATGTGCCAAAATGATAAGATTGTCTAGATCATATTGAGGATAATTGGAGATTGAAGTTTGACTCAACTTGTCCTTGCCATGGTAGCTAGAAATAAGGGATAACCCCTCCAAAATGGATCACGGTTATACTGGTCGGAATTTCACATTAGTTAATTTGAAGTCATTTGGAAGAGAAGTACAGAAGAAACAATACAGATTGGATTAGAAGTTTCAATTGAATGTGCTCTGTGCCAAGTTTCCCCGTGCAGTATTGTTCACAGATAATTTTTTCTGTTCATGACAGGTCCCAGGTGCAGAAGGGAACTTTGTATTCATAAGAGATGCGTTTTATAAGAAACCTGATATTTCACAACTTCCATTTCCAACTTACTTTGCCCCAGAAGATGAGGACCCATTGGAGTTAGAACCTCTGGTTGCTGATCTTGGAGAAGTAGATCCATTCATGGTGGCAGACTGATCAAGGGTTAAACTTAAACTCCCAATTTAAGCCGGTTTTTTGTTTCATTTGATCAATTTCCCAGCAGTAACCCCTTTCATTGTATACCGAATAGCAAAGAGTGAATTTTTAGTTAGACACATTTCTGCAGGTCGAAGGCGTGTAATTTGATAATTGTGCTGAGTTTGATGTATGAATCTAAAGCACACCATTTTTTGTCTTTCCAAATAAGGAGAACTCAAAATTTTGAACCACACCTTAGTAGAAAATTTCCCAGTTAATGCATGTTTGTTTGGACTTATAGGAAACATGGTACCTCTAAGATACTGGAATTGCCCTGAATGTCCCAAACTGCACAGGATCCGTTAGTACCTTTTCAATAACCAGTAAGCTAAATCAAAGGGACAAACAAGATTAAAAATGATATCTTGGTTTGGGCTCTAAATTCAGGCCATTTTGTTTCCTAAAAGAGACACAAACAGGGAAATAGCCAAACGCGCCATAAAAGTCCTGCAAGAACGGGTTAAAGGGAGAAAGAGCCCCAACTTCAACTCTTTCATCTTTCTTTCTTCTTCTTCTTCATCCTTCCTAGTTTAAGAATCTGATGTCAAACCCTGAATATCAAATCAAGATCTCGTCTTTTGTGCCTTATAATTCACGGAAATCATCGAGCCCTAATACCCAGAACTGAAATCTAGGGTTACCGTTACAGGGTGAAAGTTCAAGGGTAACCCTAAAGTCGTTCAGAATTCCAATGCAAACACGATGAAGCGAGACCAGATCGCGCAATGCGGGAGCTGTCACGCCAGGGACGTCGTCTTCCTCCACAACATCCGTCAAAGGGGCATCTTTCGACGCTTCTGCACTAACTGCGTGCTCAAGAGCCATCTGGGTCTGTTCTGTCCCATCTGTCTCGAAATCTTCAGCGAGCCACCGCCTACGCACCAGCGTCTCATCTGTCTTAAGTGCCCTGCCATATGTCACGTCACCTGCCCTTCCCAGTTTTCCAACGACTCCACCTTCATCTGCCCCATTTGCTACAACCCTAGTTTCAACTTCTTCAATGTCAACCCCAGCAAGAAATCCAAATCCGGCTCTATACATGACCCTGCTAAGGCTGAGGGCTCGAAAGTCATTGACAAGGATGCTTCCAAAGCGCTTCTGGTCGCTGCCTCGCTGTCTGCGATGTCCATGACCAAGGCGGCTGCCGCCATAAGAACGGATGCGGAGAAGAAGGTCAAGGAAGCTGCGCTGGCTAGGAAGAGGGCTAAGGAGGCTCTAGAGAGACTCACGTTTTTAGCAGCTAAAGAGAGCGAGGGGAGTGGTAGAGAAAAGGGGCCTATCAAGGGACCTGTTGTAATGAAATCCAGAGTGGATGCTCAGGCAGACACCAAAAGAAATGGCTTATCTGAAGACAAGGGGAGTAACGGATTACATTCGGTTTCTCCTGTTAGTGCACCCAAGTTGCAGCGTCAATAGGGCAGTCGTGGTATGCAGAGCTGATGACTAAGAATTTCAATTATCAATTTGTGAATTAGAATGTTATTTCTGAATTGCCATGAATTTGACTGAAGTTCATTTACTTTCTTCTTCATGGTTGTCTTGGAAGTCTTGTAGAGATGATCTAGGATTAGGTTGTTCTTCTGTACTCAGCCTTTTCGATTCTTATTTAGGGCTTCTGTATTGTCTGTATGTACATCAAGGGGAGCTGTTTATTTGTGACTGGTTCATTGTGTTCTTTTATCTGAATTTGCATTCTGACTTTTCTCTTCTTTGCATTCTGTATGAAGAACTTGACTCTGTAAAATAATTTCTAAAAGCAAGCATTTCAGTGTCTAAACTGATTTTATTTGCGTATCAGTCACCCTTTTGCCAGGCTTGATGAATTGTTGTCAAATAAATAGTAAATCTGTTGCTTGAATGCACACCTACTCTAATAGTGCATTTAAAACTTTAAAGTGAATTGTGTGTAACACCATCATGGTTGGTTCATTAACTCAAAATACTTGAATGGTTGAATTGCTGCGTAATGCATGCCTGTTTTCTTGTGCATCTTTGAATTTTACTTTTGTGTATTTACGTTATCATTATAAATCCTGGAAATGCTATTAGCACCTTACTCCTTTGTTTGGAGTGCTGTGGAGCTTTGGATGAAGTGATAGCAACTGGATCCGAATGTTATTGCAAATGATTCTTTACTCTTCTTGATTTGGCATATCATTTGCTTTTGCTTCATTTTATTGCCATCTATTTTTTATTTGTTTCATTAAACTATATTGTTTCCTTTTTATTTGCCTTCAAATGACTGAACAAATAGTAGGCCAGTATGTTTTTCTGTTGCTTTTGGTTCTTTTCATTGGTAGTTAGTTCGTCAGCAATCTTATACCAGGTATGTGACACTTAAATCTGAACGTGCTTCTCTGCAAGGATTGTTGGGGTTTGGTTAATTATTGTGCAGAGAACTCTGTTTGAGCACTATCAAATCTGTTTGAATCTGAACTCCCAATGAATTTCTGCTTTTAAGCTGCTGTCTCTGGGGTTCTATTTTCCTATGAAATAATTTTGCCCCCTCAAAAGTATTCAAGCTTCTGCTTCCTGGTTGGCGATGCAAGGGCGCAAGATGGGACAGGGAGGCCTTTCCCACACCTACCCCACTGGAAAAAGGGGTGGATCGTCCCTGGCGGGCATTGGTTGCCTACCTTACCTACCTGAATGAATTTTGTTAAGATTTTCTATGCTGGAGACAATAAATAGCTGTGTGAATATCAGTTTTTCCAATTGTAAAATGCAAACTTCATTGACAAAGCAATGAATCCAAACAACCCATGGAGAGAATGTCTAAATCCATTCTTGAACATTTGCAATCTTCGGGGCATGCTGATTAAACACAAAAACCCTCTTCTTTACAGTGGGAGTGTTCTAGTGAATCATTATTGAATCATTTAGGAAAAAAAGAAAAAGAAATCTATGCTTACAGGCATTACAAGATGTGCAAGCATATACACTTGGGGGTGAAGGCAGGGAGACTAAATGTAGCCGTCCTCTCATCCTCACAATCACCTACTTATTTACTTGCTGAATCTTATTTCAAACCAAGCATTATGGATATTAGGAATCCTGCTTTCATTAACGGCGGAAGCCAAGTAAATAAGGTATGCCACTCTCCCCCAACCAAGTGTTTCCTTGGAGGAATGGACCAGATGTGAATTTCTCAGCAGTAGCTCTGTCTATCACCCCCTGATAGCCCTTCCACTTGACTCTTTGGTCTGTTGCAGCACCTGGGCCACGGTTTGCATACTCAGCGTAATACAGCGTGTCAAGTGCAAAGGTCCCAGCCCACGGCATCCACCCTTCTGGGCGAATGAAGTCACCAATGGTAGTTTCCATTATCACAGTCCTGGAGTATTGCTTCCATGGACGGCCCAAGTATGAGGGAATCTTGAATCTTACAGGGAACAGGGCTTGATCTGGGACAATACGGCAGTTCTGGATAACCAAGCCAGTGACTTCATTCTCGTATTTACGCCCGTGAGCGGTTACTGCATTCTTCTGGTCGTCATCAGGCTTCCTGACAATAATCAGACAGTTCTGGATGACAGTGGCTGAGTCGCCGAAGATGAAATCAACAGTACCGGAGATGACACAGTTACGGTAGAATTGGCGGTGGGCCTGGACGTAGAGCGTGTCCTGGAACCCATCCATCCTGCAGTTGTAGAACAACGCCCTGTCAGATATCACCCGCAGAGCAACCGCCTGCTCTCCTTTAGGACCAGCCGTGTTGGTGAACCCCATTGATTTCGCCATGAATCCATCCCCAATAGCAGCTGCAAAATCCAAAATTTATCAAAAATCCATCCAGTTTAATTTATCAAATAAAAGAGAACACCCTCCACTGTATCAATTAACTTACCAAATGTGGCGGATTCAGAGGTAGTGTATCCACCCACTACGGATCTCTTTCCGGTGACAATCGTCTTCCTTGGACCATCACCGTACATGAAAACATTAACCATGTTCTTGGGGATCATGACTATTTCGTCATAAACCCCTGCTTTAACATATATCACAAACCTCCCCTGCAGATTCTTGGGATAAGCTTTCAGGGCTTCTCCTATCGTTTTGAATTGGCCGCTTCCGTCCTTTGCCACCACCACATTCGGCTTCACCTGGGCGTTGTTATCGCTTCCCAACAACTTCCTGTCATTGGAAGTAACCCAATGAGGGTAAGTATTTCCGCCATCGGATTTATGCTCATCCGATAACTGCCGCGGAGGCGTTATTTCTCCAATCTTCAAGTCCACATTGAAGACATGAAGAATGCTAGAGATGCTATCGACCATGGCGAGCGCGTTGCTCGTCAACTGACTCGCATTCAATAGCCCATCCGCCAACTGCTTCTGTAACTCCGGCTGACCCTTAGGAATCTGATCAACGCAGGACTCGTGATAGGAAATCACCGCGCTCAGCCAATTCTTGAGCTCTGCTTCCCTCTGGCTCAGCGTGTGCAATTCGCTGTCTCCCACCATGGAGAAAGAAGCTTGGAGCTCTTGAATTGCGTACTGCAACAGATCATCGCAGTCGTTTTTCGCCATCTTAACAGTCGGATTGCTGACTTTATCCCCGAAAATCGAACCCGAGTTGTTTAAAAATCCCTCCACCTCCTCGAGGATGACTTTGATGGCTGCCTTGAGATAGTCCGTCGGGGTTGCACTCTCGTTCTTGGCTTGAACTTTATTCATGGTGTCAACGCACGATTCCTTGAACTGGGTCGACTCGCACACGGTAGCAACGGCCTTCGAGGTGGTGTGCAGGACAATGTTGCCCGTGTCAAAAGTGTCTTTGGAGGCGTCTCCGCCCATAAGAGCGATGCATACCCCAACAACGACGACGAGGAAAATGGAGATGGGTCCGAGGATCGATTTACCTCCTATCATGTTTGGTTGCTTGTGATGAACGTAGAAGAAGAGACTGTGAACGGTTAGTTGAAGGCAGAAACCATGGAAGGAGCTTATATAGGTGCCTAGTTTATAAATCTGGAGAACTACATTACATTTTCCCATTTTAGAAACCGAAAAAAGGCGGGAATGATGGTAGTTACCAGACCGTTTTTGTCCGTTACTTCCCCGAATTAGATTCTCACCCATAAGTTTTTTTTTTTTTTTAACTATTTATAAACTTTACAAAAAAACAACAAATATAACAATTTTCGTTTCCTTAGATAAACCAAGAACAATATAGTTATAAGAATACGCGAATTATATATCTGATGCATATGTTAATACGGTATTGACGATCTTGGAGTGGATACCTTATTTTTTGCATTCACGTTGGCATGGTCTATTACTCAAATACTTGGTTGTAATTTCAATATATTGAGAAGTGATGATTATCTTCTATGACAAGGGGAATCTATTGGGTGATGAACGACTTATCTTTATCAGCAATTGTGCAATTGGTACAGAATCTGCAGCTCTGCTTTAAATCATGCTGCTGAGCAAACGCAGTTACATCCTTTAACGTTGAACAAATAGCTTAATGTTTCCATGAATTGACCATATGATAACCTGGACTCATGGCAGGGGTTCTTGTGAGTCTCCCAAACGAGAAAGATGAAGATATGCATCGGTCCCTGCACGCACACAACACACGGAGTTAAGAGACAAATTTTTGGCGGTTTACAAAAAGTAGAAGAAATGGATGAGTCCCTGCAGACATAAAGCATTTAGTTTTATCCTTTCAATGAATTTCAAGGCTTTTGAAATTATAAAAAATGATCGAATATGCAGCAAATATGCAAGAAGCAATGGTACAGAAAAAAAAAAAACAAATCCAAGTTTCAGAATTCAAGATCATGAAAATTTCCTCATCAAACTCAGCATTTGCTATTTTGTCTTTGGATGATTCAGGTCTGCTAGGCCAATGGCTATCTTATTCCGACTTTATAGCTTATAAATGTGCTTTCATGCCTAATCCATATCATGATTTACAGTTAATCAAAAGGTATTTTTCACATACAACATTTTCCCCTCCTTTTCCCCCATCTTCTAGTGATACAGGACACATCACTCTTCACTCATACTGAAAACAAGTGAATGAATACCATATGCAGACAAGTTAACAAGCATAAACCCATGTCAGTAAATGCTGCGGACTGCAGTACTAGGAGGAAACCAGCAGAATTTTCATGACAAATATATCATCCACATTAATCTCAAGAGTGATTAAAATGTATGGCTTCAATTGTAATAGAACCACACTTACCATATCCTTCCATAGATATAATTTGCAGATCCCCTCCAAAGTACCGGGCATACAAGCGGCTAATTGGCAGTCCATAACCATATCCAGCCATTGTTACTGTATTAGCAGTTCTAAGATCTGAGTGTTCATCCAATGGGTTTCTGGCAGTGCTGTAAAGATAGGTAAAAATTTTTGGGAGACCACTTCTTGGAATGCCACCCCCCTCATCTGACACCTACAATGCCAGGAAAAGATAAGAGTAAAACCAACTTATTAAGCTTATCTCATTGAAAAAAAGAGTTAAATACAGATGAATCATGTAGGTAGTAGTGTAAAGTCTCAAGACTCTCAACTACTCCATCCCACACCCAAAAATTCTAGATGGTTCATAAAATATAACAAGGCTGTACCTTTATGGTGACATCCTCAATTCCTTCAGCAACTATAATTCTAATAGGAGGTGCAACTTTATCTGAGTCCATGAAACGCTCCTGGACAGCACGTAGAGAATTTTTAACCAACTCAAACACCATGAGATGGAGGTGTGTTGGGACATACCTGTTATTATACAGGGAAGACCATAAATAAAAACAAAAATTCTTGCGGTCTTCATTGTTTTCACTTTTCATTACAGGTTACCATTACAAATATTGAAATTAGGATGTATGTGGTGAAACATTCCAATACATCAGCAGAAAACATGGTAGAAGAATAAGAAGGGTAAGGGGTAAAAAGAGGAAAAGAAATCAACAAAGGAGCAAGCTCAACCAATTTGAGATGAAATCAACTTACGGGAATGTAAAATTGGGATCTCCATAGATATTCAAATCAGGAGCACTGCCATATTCTCTTAAACAAACAGCACGAGCATCCTCACTAGCATTTTGTGCTACCTCCATAGGGGACATCTTTGTATGAATATAGCCCACACAATGTGGACGAGGATTTGGATTGTGCAACTCTGCATGCTGCCCTGATAATTTAAAAAGGTCTCAACTCTTAGAACAATAACAAAATCCTTAATGAAGAAAACATTCAAGTTATAAGAAGGAAAATTATATTAAAACTAACCTATAAGCATGCGAATTCCAATCCTAGACATATAAAATCGATCAAGAAACCGATCAATCTCATAAAGATCCTCACAAACAATCTTTGGGTCCATGCCCTTCTTCAACTGTTGAACCCCCAATGCCATCATAGGGACAACATTATTGTGTCTCACCTTTATTGCCTTAATCATTTGTGTGAATTCCTTCTCATCATTTGCATCCTTAATGTCTGGAAAAGATCTTAGGTCACGGAAGGAATCCAAATACCAATCTCGGACCTGAAAATCAGACTTTTACACAAAATGAGCTTCAATCCCATAATCTTTGATATTTCAGATTAAATCTAACATCTTCCAGAGCATCTTTTGATTAAAGGAAAAAAAATTACCCCTGGAACTGGGGATACTCAAGATGTTCAAAGCAAGGTTCCTTCATATTTTATCCTCAATCCTCTCACATTTTAAACATGAAGTTAAAAAGTGCCTTTTGACGCACTTCCCGAACAAAAGATTGCAAGATGTAGATGCAAATCATTCTCATTATTAAGTGATATTCAGCATTTATTTTTTAAAACTTTTTAGCTAATAAAAAAATGCTTCCAAGCAAGTGCAGCAAAAAAATAAAAAATAAAATCAGACCGCAAAAACTAGAGACAGCCAGAATCTCCATGCTCACTAAAAAAAATTAAAAATAAAAGGAAATGTTAGTTCTCAGAACACAAAAAGGAATTGACACCAGAATCTACTGTAGCTCAATATAACAGTCCCAGTCAACCACAAGAAATCAACACAACGACTGTAATTGAATCCCAAAATGCAAGTTATGAACTTTTAAGCAAAAAGGCGACAGGGTACCTTAAAAACAGCAGGTTTCTCAGATAACCCATGAGGGAGGGTCTCCAGCTCGATGGCTCTCCTGGCAATCCTAATGGGCAGTTCCTTGTGGAGGAATTGAGCAGAAATCAAGAGGTTCCTCTGGGTAGGTCTGGAGCCAAACTCCATCATGTACCTTAAACTAACTCCCGTCTGCTTCATACAACCCCATCTGTGGACTTCCTCTAGCACGCTCTTGGAGAAGGACTCGCACGCCTTCTTAACAGCCATGGCACCTCTGCCTCTGCCTCGGATCACCAGAGCAACCCTCAACCCAACACCCACATGCAAAAAGAAAAAGGCGAAACCTTGTTTCGAAAATGACAATATGACATAGAGATGAAGCGAATACAGACACTGGAGCTGAAATTCGCTTAAATTGAGTAAGAAAATGAGAGCGCCACAGAACAGAACAGAGCAGAGCAGAGCAGAGCAGAGTCAAATGGGCTACGAAATAAACAATGGTGGGGCCCTCTCTGACTCGTCCGTATCATTGTGAAATTAGGTAACCAACTAAGGTGAGAGAGATCTGCTGTTAAAAATACTTTGCAAAATTAGGAAAATTTTTTTTTTAAATTAATAACCATTTAAAAATCATATTAAATTTTAATTAATTTAAAGTAAAATCTTATTAATTTATAAAAAATCATTAATATCTGAGTTGAGAAATACCAACACACTATTTTTAGTTTTAGAATACAATTTCAAAAAATTGTCATAGTTATGGTAACATTTTAAGTGTATAATATAATATATTATTAAAAAATTGAGCATCAATTGGTATTATAAAAAATTAGACAAAAAATATTTTAAAATTATATTATTTAAACAAAATTTTATTAAAAAATATTAATTATTTTAAAGTAAAAATAAAGATATTTTAATCTTTTTTTATAATACTTTATTAAAACGACATAATTTGAAAGTATTTTTCTACTTAATTTTTTTGTAAGTTTAGTTGAAAAAAATTAGTTTTATATATTATTATATAATTAATTTTTTATTTAAAAATTTATTTATCATATTTATTTATTTATTTAATAACACAATTATCTTTATTTAATAATGTTGTAATTATAATGACAAATTTTAACTATTTATCTGTTTATTATTATAAGTAATTAAAATTTATCTATATAGATGTTTTAGATAGAGGGTCTTTTTAATTTTTGTTTTAAAGTAATACCTTAAGAATGTATTTATTATTATTAATTTATATAAAATATTATAAAAATAAATTTTATTTTTAATATTAATATTATGTGAATTAATTTAATGAAATAATAAATAAAATTTAAATAAAATTTTATCTTTTTTAGAAATTAATAATAAAAACATATAATAATTACATCTCTTAAAATATAAATTAAAAAATTCCTTGTATAAATGATATAGATGAAAATTACGTGGGGATAAATCTTTTGACTCTCTTTGCATTATTATTTATTAACCGTGGTGAAGGATTCAGTGGGCTGACTCTGACGGAACGTGGAGACCGGATTTTTGGAATTCACTGGGTTGAGGATAAGGATAAACCGACAAAGACCAGAGTTCGAACTACCCGTCAGTTTTGTCGGATTAACCAAAAAGCGCAGAAATTAAGATTTCCCTCGTCATGTATTACGAGAAACGTTGTCCTTATTGAGAAACGAAGTATTCCGGGATAGGATGCGGTGGGGAGGGGTTGGGGATGTGGGTCTGACGCATATAGCTGCAATTACACTCGACGTCCTCCATGAGTTCTTTGTCCTCTTCCAC